TAAAATGCGCACGGCACTTTTACAAGCCATTTGAAAGCGAAGAAAAGAGGGAAACTCAAACGAACTAACACCCCCCACCCCAACGGTGATACCGGTATTACCGGTGTTGTCACACGTCGATTAACCGGTGGGAAAATTTCCTCACCGTCACAACCCTATCCAGGTAATGAAAACAAAATAATACAACCATGATTAAGTTCTTTTCTAGGCCAAATCAATGGCTCCCAAAAGAACAAGTACCGTATTGACCCGAATATAAGACTATGTTTTTTTCTTGGAAATACATCTGAAAAAACGCGGTCGTCTTATATTCAGGGTCTAGACTTTGACATGTCAATAATACACCCACAACAATAGGTGGCGCCAAATACGCATAAAACGAGTGTGCCATGATATACATAATGTAATCATAGACTGTGGAATGTAATGCGTGTTGTAAAGATCGTGAGTAAAAACAAAAGAAAAAGAAAAGCTTACATCTGCATGAGTCGTGACTGTCACGTTAGCCTGATGGGACCAAACTCTCTTTGTGATTTTAAAACGTAAGACAGTACCAAGATTTGACGACTACAGTAAGATTTAACTTCTACTGTTCATAAGATTTTGGTAGGCTACTATTAGATGGATAGCCTAAATGTCCTAATTCAGATGGGCTACCTGTTTTTTTTTTTTAATGGTATATCAAAAAGTGTATATTTTTTAAATGTGATTGTTGGTACATTTTACCAGTTTTTACCATACTTTCAAAACAAAAATTAAAATAGGAAAAATATGCAATATGAAAATAATTGAAGACAAAATGTGTTTTAATGAGAAAAAACAAGATTTGGCTTTTAAAAAGCCTTTTTCCAAAAGGTACATCTGGAAAAAGGGGGGTCGTCTTATATTCGGGCCAATACGGTATTATGCGTGTCTTATTCTGTGTAAGAAGCCACATCATCTCACAGAAGGATTTATTTCAAACACTCGACTGACGTTATGAAGTGAGTTTGGAGTAAAAACATGTTATTAAATGTGGTATTTTCACATGCTTTCAAATGGAGCAGCATTTACTACACCGAGCCGTAGTTCACGGAGAAGCTACGCAAACAGCTGTCATTTTCACGAACAATTTCTTCGGTTTCATAATTGCGCGATTATATCATCTTGTGATTTTTTTGTGATGTGATGGAGATTTACTACTGATCACAGAACCGGCTTTACTGACAAGATGCGCATGACAATCTCATTCGATTAATCGTGCAGCCCTAGTTTTTAATACAGATTATCGGCCGATATATCGGTGCATCCCGGATCACAATGACTGAAAGAGTGACGCGAGTTACCTGGGACAGGCCCGGGGAGTGCGCGGGAAGCGGGGCGGAGGGGGGTCCTGACAGAGGCTGAGGTGCCTTATTCATTTCACCTGGAGCATCTGCATCGAGACGCAGTACTGACAAAACCTGAACCAGAGAGAGAGAGAGAAAGACAGAGACATATCAAGTTATTATTCAGCTGTTCATTGTGTCTTAAACTTAATTAGCGATTATAATGTCTGAGTGTAAATTATTAATGCTCAAGTCAGAAGTTCATGGTCGTCCGTACAAATAGAAAGATCTGAGTCATGCTGAATCATCAGACAGCATTTGTTAAAGCTCAAGTGTGTCCTTTTTGATATTAACCCTCTTTAAAAAATTTTTTTAAAAAAGTGTTATTTTTTGAAATGGTAAAATATTCAATAGGGTTTCAAAAAGTTGGAAAATTTCCAGTCAATTTCGGAAACTTTCCAGGATTTTGGGAAAGTTTCCCGAAATTTACTGGAAATTTTCCACCCCTTTGCAACCCTAATATTAAAACAAAAAAAGTTTGCATATGTGATTTTGGTTACACTTTATTTTAAAGTGTCCTTGTTACAGTGTAATTATACATTTAAATACTGATTAAACTATATGGTTAGGGTTAGGATTAGGGTTACTTGCATGTAATTATGCATAATTTATTGTTATTATAATAGTAAGTACACGTAATGTGTAACAAGAACACATAATAACACAAAGTGTTACAGTGTTTTTTGTTGAGTACCATAATTGATCTATCAGGCTTTTATGGCTCATATAGTCTGATATAGAGAGAATATGTAGGAAAAACAGTTCAATTTTATTCCGAGAATCAAACTGAACAGAAATATGCAATTTGCTGCAGATGCTGATATTTATATGATGAAAAAAGGGGGGTCGTCTTATATTCGGGCCAATACGGTATTATGCGTGTCTTATTCTGTGTAAGAAGCCACATCATCTCACAGAAGGATTTATTTCAAACACTCGACTGACGTTATGAAGTGAGTTTGGAGTAAAAACATGTTATTAAATGTGGTATTTTCACATGCTTTCAAATGGAGCAGCATTTACTACACCGAGCCGTAGTTCACGGAGAAGCTACGCAAACAGCTGTCATTTTCACGAACAATTTCTTCGGTTTCATAATTGCGCGATTATATCATCTTGTGATTTTTTTGTGATGTGATGGAGATTTACTACTGATCACAGAACCGGCTTTACTGACAAGATGCGCATGACAATCTCATTCGATTAATCGTGCAGCCCTAGTTTTTAATACAGATTATCGGCCGATATATCGGTGCATCCCGGATCACAATGACTGAAAGAGTGACGCGAGTTACCTGGGACAGGCCCGGGGAGTGCGCGGGAAGCGGGGCGGAGGGGGGTCCTGACAGAGGCTGAGGTGCCTTATTCATTTCACCTGGAGCATCTGCATCGAGACGCAGTACTGACAAAACCTGAACCAGAGAGAGAGAGAGAAAGACAGAGACATATCAAGTTATTATTCAGCTGTTCATTGTGTCTTAAACTTAATTAGCGATTATAATGTCTGAGTGTAAATTATTAATGCTCAAGTCAGAAGTTCATGGTCGTCCGTACAAATAGAAAGATCTGAGTCATGCTGAATCATCAGACAGCATTTGTTAAAGCTCAAGTGTGTCCTTTTTGATATTAACCCTCTTTAAAAAATTTTTTTAAAAAAGTGTTATTTTTTGAAATGGTAAAATATTCAATAGGGTTTCAAAAAGTTGGAAAATTTCCAGTCAATTTCGGAAACTTTCCAGGATTTTGGGAAAGTTTCCCGAAATTTACTGGAAATTTTCCACCCCTTTGTAACCCTAATATTAAAACAAAAAAAGTTTGCATATGTGATTTTGGTTACACTTTATTTTAAAGTGTCCTTGTTACAGTGTAATTATACATTTAAATACTGATTAAACTATATGGTTAGGGTTAGGATTAGGGTTACTTGCATGTAATTATGCATAATTTATTGTTATTATAATAGTAAGTACACGTAATGTGTAACAAGAACACATAATAACACAAAGTGTTAGTGTTTTTTGTTGAGTACCATAATTGATCTATCAGGCTTTTATGGCTCATATAGTCTGATATAGAGAGAATATGTAGGAAAAACAGTTCAATTTTATTCCGAGAATCAAACTGAACAGAAATATGCAATTTGCTGCAGATGCTGATATTTATATGATGAAATTCTGATGTTTGTAAACCAGTCTTTATAACAGTACAGCAGATACTGACATTTGTTTACTTTATTTCTGTACCTGAAAACTGTTAAACCTTCCCAAAAAGCACTGTTTATTTAATATGTATCTTTGTTCTGTTGTATCTATGTAGGCCTGCTGAATGTTAAATGGATCCATGTTCATTAGAAATTATTTGATGATGCAGCAATAAAACTGCTAGTATAGTTTAATGCATGTGTTTTTGAACTTTGCTGCTTTAAAACATGATCAAAATACTCTCTATTTTGATGCCAAAATGTCAAATAAAAGAGGAAGTGACAAATATCGGTATCGGCCAATAAGTGTTTGTTAAAATCGGTATCGGCCCCAAAAAATCCTATCGGTGCATCCCTAATATTAATATAATTATACAATAAAAATAATAAATATATTTTTATATTATAATTATTAAATAAAATATTAATTACTATTGTATATATTACTATTGTAATAATTTTATTGTGCTATAAAATAAACATTGAGCATTTAGTAGAAATTATAAAGTTATTTTTTATTATAATTATTAATGGCCAAATATGAGCCCTATCTATTTTGATGCCAAAATTTCAAATAAGAGAGGAAGTGACAAATATCGGTATCGGCCAATAAGTGTTTGTTAAAATCGGTATCGGCCCCAAAAAATCCTATCGGTGCATCCCTAATATTAATATAATTATACAATAAAAATAATAAATATATTTTTATATTATAATTATTAAATAAAATATTAATTACTATTGTATATATTACTATTGTAATAATTTTATTGTGCTATAAAATAAACATTGAGCATTTAGTAGAAATTATAAAGTTATTTTTTATTATAATTATTAATGGCCAAATATGAGCCGATTAATCGGTCAAGTTTATCATTATGATATACATTTCTATTATATAATGAAAAAAATTACAAATATTGAAAAACAAAGATTGAAAAATTATTTTCAATTGATTGAAAGTTTGAAAATGATTTTTTTATTATAATTATTAAACAAGATTATAAACAAAATACGATTCATTCATTCGTTCGTTGACTTTATTTATAGAGCACTTTACAACTGCACCTACAGACCAAAGTGCTGAACAAGCAGCATAGAAAAAAACAAACAAACATAAAACAAATAAAAACAACACACTAGGGATATGCCGGTATCAAATTTTCATGTTGCGATTAATTGCTAATGCTTTTATCACGGTATACGGTATTATCACGGTATTGAAATTTAGTTTTAAAAAAAGTGCTGTCATAGCACGCATCTTTCATGCAGCATACGGCGGTGTTGTGCATTTTGACCAGTTGATGGGAAAAGTATTCTTAAAATGCATTCAAAATTCTAAATTTGTAATATATAATTATTCACGGTATTTAGAAGTGCCCACGATAACAATATCGTGCATATTCATTACCGTGATATATCGCATTACCGAATACCGGCACAAGTCTACAACACACAATACATCAAATACTAGCCCAACCTCTCAAAGGCTAAAGACAAGTAACTTTTGACACGCAAAAACATTTAACGAAGTGATCTCCCTAAATTCATGAGGCCTGATCCCCCTTTAACTTTAAATGAGTTTGAAGAACAGTATATTCTAATAATATTATTGTGCTGTAGAATAAAAATCGAACATGTAATGAAAGCAAGCAAAATTACAATTAAAACCTGTCTTAATTTCTTCATTTTCAAACATGAAACCATCAAGCTTTTATTTTGACAGAAGACCAATATGTAGTATAATATAATTAGGATGTATTATTTGTTCTTGTAAAACATGCCTCTTTTTTATTTATTTTTATTTTATTTATTTTTTATTTTGCTGTGTTTGTTTGTACATATCAAAATATCAATATAGCTATATAATATCAATAATAATAACTATAATAACAACAAACTTTTTAAATAATTAAATAAAAATGTACATTTATATATTTAAATATATTACTAAATTAAATTACAGAAAATTCACGGTATTTAGAAGTGCCCACGATAACAATATCGTGCATATTCATTACCGTGATATATCGCATTACCGAATACCGGCACAAGTCTACAACACACAATACATCAAATTTGTAACTTTTGACACGCAAAAACATTTAACGAAGTGATCTCCCTAAATTCATGAGGCCTGATCCCCCTTTAACTTTAAATGAGTTTGAAGAACAGTATATTCTAATAATATTATTGTGCTGTAGAATAAAAATCGAACATGTAATGAAAGCAAGCAAAATTACAATTAAAACCTGTCTTAATTTCTTCATTTTCAAACATGAAACCATCAAGCTTTTATTTTGACAGAAGACCAATATGTAGTATAATATAATTAGGATGTATTATTTGTTCTTGTAAAACATGCCTCTTTTTTATTTATTTTTATTTTATTTATTTTTTATTTTGCTGTGTTTGTTTGTACATATCAAAATATCAATATAGCTATATAATATCAATAATAATAACTATAATAATAACAAACTTTTAAAATAATTATTAAATAAAAATGTACATTTATATATTTAAATATATTACTAAATTAAATTACAGAAAATGTATTTACAGTGAATTACTGAAACTATCTAGATATTTTGGAAACTTTCGGAAAATTTTTGGAAACTTTTAGAAAGTTTTCCGAAATTTACCAGAAATGCTCTGCCCCTTTGCAACCCTATTAAAGAATATTTTTTTACTGTATCTGTAAAATTACAATAATGATACATTAATTTCTTAATTTTCAAATGTTAACCCATCAAGCTTTTATTGAGTTATTTAGTGCTCCCCTAAAAGTATAAAAATAATCATTAATTAGAACTGAAGGCAAATTTGGTCAATTCTTTGTGAACCTCAACTGTAGTTTGTTGAGGTCTGAAGCTAAAGCTGCTTCCAGCTGCACCTGCAATTGCTGCAGCACTCATTCGTTATTTGGCTTTGTGTGTTTGACATGTGGCTGCATTTGTGAATGAATCAAAGGAACAGGACTGCGGCAAGAGACCAGCTGCCCGAGACTCAAACTAGTTTATATGGAGGGGGTTCAGGAGACACGGCTCTCTTTACAAGAGCCAAATATAGAGGCAAAGCTGCACAACTCTCTCTCTCACACACACACACTCTCTCTCTCTCTCTCACACACA